ACAGCTGCCTTCTCCCAAAGAAGACAACAAATAAAGGGACCCTGACACACACACACACACACACACACACACACACATATATATATATATATATAATACACAACTGACAGGATTCCCCCTATGTTCCAATCTTTTCTGGGTGTTTGCCTTCCCCCCCACTGCCCATAGTTTCCCACATTGTCTGGGGAATCGAGGATGAATTGTGTCTGTGTGCTTTGTTCCCCTCCTGATCTTCCCCCGACGAAAACATGGAAAAAAACAGGATTCACCCTATTTCCCTATCTTTTCTGGGTTTTTGTCTTCCCCCCACTGCCCATGGTTTCCCACAGTGTCTGGGGAATCGAGGATTCATTGTGCCTGTGTGTTTGTTCCCCTCCTGATCTTTCTCCGACGAAAACATGGAACAACAAAACACGCCGACCGGAGAGCTGCGCCCGCAGCGCCCCCTGTCCCTCCGACCTCGCCGAGGGCCTCGCGGCGATTTTGCGGCCGGGGGCGCGCACAGAGGGGCGGGGGGAAGGGGGAAACCTTCTTTCGAGCAGGGACCCACCGTCCCGGCATTCCTATAGTCCTACCACGACATGTTCTTAGAACCCCAAAATGTTCTCAGAACAAAAACAGTGTTCTCAGAACATGAGCCCGATGTGTTAAATCAAGACAGCCCCAGCCAGAAATGTTCTGAGAACATTTCGTGGGAACCACAAAAGGTTCTTAGAACATTGCTCGGTGGGGCTGTAGGCGAGCCGGGACGCTTCGCCACTGCTTTTCGCCACTGCTTAAGGAAGACTTCTCAGAAAGAGGCTGCCTCTTAGAAGGCGCCGGCCTTACGTCTGCAGAGAAGGCCCGCGCCCTCGCTGCGCCCCTGCACCGCCCACCACCTGCGCCAGACCTCCCCCAGAGGCCTCTCTGGACCTGCCCCGACTTGCCCAGGTATGAGTCGGGCTGTCTGCGTTCGCGGGGATGCCCCCGAGGAGACCGATACCGCTGCTCCACGGGCCCCTCCCAGGGGGTCCTTTCTCACCAGACTCGCTCGAGGAGAATCAAGCGGTGGCGACGAGGACCTCCCAGGAGGCCCGAACCAGCGAAGACGAGGCAAGGGTAGCTGTATCGGCATCTTCTCCTCATCTGAATATTTGAATACATAAAACTGGCTTGATGCCGACAAATCGATTTGGCATTATCGCGAAACCCTCAAGAACGACTGTTTGGGCGCCAGAAAGAAATACGGAAAACATGGGTACGATGCCCAACGGCACATGTTTCCCGAAACCGACAGCGGCCAGTTGGGTAGCCGGTCGTCTGTCTCAAATGGACTATCTTCGCGGGGTCATCGGCAAGTAGCTAAGACGAAGCCAGGACGAGGATAAAATCGGGTAAGGATGAATCGAGAATCTCTGAGATACAGCGGATCTGGAGGGTGTCTCGGGCGCCGCGGCCTTCTCAGAGCGTTCTGGAACGTTCTGAGAGCGTTCCGGAACGCTCTGGAATGGATCTATCCTCGTCCTAACCCCGCCCGACGAATTAGTCCTGTCAAACATGAACTGGCACGCACAAGGGAATGCTAGTACTAGTATGTGTCCCCGGTTTCTCGTCCCGAGTCGTTTTGTTCACGGCCCCGGGGCCCGGCGAGGGCCCCTCGAGGCAGAAAAAACAAGAAAAATCTCCGTCTCCTCAGACGCGCGGGCGCCGTGCCGCCCGCTAGGCGGGCAGACCCGGGGCGTCGGAGGCGCGCGGCCCACGAAGCACCCGGCGCCTGCCAAGCACGCCACCGCCTGGCAGGGCCAGTCGCCGCCAACGCCCGCGTCGCCACCGCCAGCGACGACGACACATCCTCCTCCTCCTCCTCGCTCCTAGTCCTCCTCATTCACCTCCTCCTCCTCCTCCTCGCTCCTAGTCCTCCTCATTCACCTCCTCCTCATTCTCCTCCTCCTCCTCGTTCCTCCTCAAACTCCTCGCTCCTCCTCCTCCTCGCTCCTCCTCCTCCTCCTCCTCCTCCTCCTCCTCCTCCTCCTCCTCCTCCTCCTCCCCCTCCTCCTCCTCCTCCTCGTCCTACTCCTCCTCTTCCTCCTCCTCCTCCTCCTCCTCCTCCTCCTCCTCCTCCTCCTCCTCCTCCTCCTCCGTGCTCCTGTGCTCCTCCTCGCTCTTCCTCATCCCCGATTTCCTCTCTCCTCCCTCCTCGTCCTCCTCCTCCTCCTCCTCCTCCTCCTCCTCCTCCTCCTCCTCCTCCTCCTCCTCCTCCTCCTGCTCCTCCTCCTCCTCCTCTTTCTCCTCCTCCTGCTCCTCCTCCTCATCGCTCCTTCCTCCTCGCTCCTCGCTCCTGGCTCCTCGCGCCTCGCTCCTCCTCCTCCTCCTCCTCCTCCTCCTCCTCGCTCTTACTCATCCTCGATTTCCTCGCTCCTCCTCCTCCTCCTCCTCCTCTTTCTCCTCCTCCTCCTCCCTCTCCTCCTTGTCCTCCTCCTCCTCCTCCTCCTCGATCCTCGCTCCTCCTCTTCGCTCTGGGGTGGTAATTTGGTGGGGGTCTCGAAGGGGATGGGGATGGGGATGGGATAAACGATACTGGAATACGAGGTCACTAACAGGAGGAACCCTCAATGGAATATCCCCTGTCCCCAGCGCTCGCCCGCCTTCCCAAGCCTTTCGTCTCCATGGCCACAGCGGGCCACAGAGGCCCCCAAACTGACCCGGAAAGCCCCACAGAGAGCCTCAAGACGCTCCAAGGAGGCTCCGAGACGCCGAAGGATCGCGCCAAGACGTCCAAGACGGCCCCAAGACGGCTCCAGAAGCCTCCAAGAGGCCCCAAGACGCCTCCCGAGAGCGCCCCAGGAGGTAAACATCATCCCATTCCCTTCAGATATGCACATGTTTGGCAGATTCGCCTGCTGACTTTTCACAGCGTCCAAGACGGCCCCCGAGGCCACCAAAATCACCCCGAGACGGCCCAAGGGTCCCAGAAGAGGGCTCCAAGGCAGCCCACGAAAGCTCCAAGACGGCCCAAGATGCCCCCCAAGACGGCCCAACAGGGCCCCAGGACGGGCCCAGGAGGGGGCCTGGAGGGGGGAATCAAATTCGAGATATCGAGCCTTCGGCCCCAAGACTCCCTCGGGAGGCCCCCAGAGGCCCCCAAGACGCCCCGAGAGGGCCCCAGAAGGCCACGAGGGGCGCCCAAGACGCTCGCGGCCCCCCTCCCCAGAAAACCGAGGGGGGTCACTACCAGTTCGAACGCCCCTCCCCCCCCTTCCAGAAAACCTGGCGAGTCAATACCAGTTCGAACCCCCCCCCGCCGCCGGCAAAAGACTCCCGGGTCCCCACCACCGTCCTCACCACCGCCCTCACCTCTGATCCCACCACAACAGTCCCCACCACTGTCCAACTGTCCCCGCTGTTCCCACCACCACTGTCCCCACTGTCCCCACCAATGCCTCCACCACCGTCGCATTGTCCCCACTGTCCCCGCCAGTGTCCCCACCACGGTCCCATTCTCCCCACTGTCCCAACTGTCCCAACCACTGTCCCACTGTCCCCACTATCTCCGCCGCTGTCCCAGTGTCCCCACCACTGTCCCACTGTTCCCACTGTCCCCACCACTCTCCCCACTGTGCACTGTTCCATTGTCCCACCACCGTCCTCACCACCGCCCTCACCACTGTCCCTACCACTACCGTCCCAACCACTGCCTGTCCGCACTGTTCCCACCACTTTCTCCACCAGTGCCCCCACCACTGTCGCACTGTCCCCACAGTCCCCACGACTGTCCCCACCACGATCCCACTCTCCCCACTGTCCCAACTGTCCCCACCACTGTCCCACTGTTCCCACAGTCCCCACCACTGTCCCACTGTGCCCACCGTCCCCACCCCTGTCCCACTGTGCTGCCCCACCGTCCACACTGTCCCCACCACTGTCCCACTGTCCCCAGTCCCCACCACTCTCCCAACTGTACCACTGTCCCACCACTGTCCTAACCGCAGCCCTCACCACCTTCCCCACCACCACTGTCCCCACCACTGTTCCACTGCTGTCCCCACCACCACCGTCCCCACCACTGTCCAACTGTCCCCATTGTCCCCACCACTGTTCCACTGTCCCCAGTCCCCACCACGGTCCCCACTGTCCCCGCCAGTGCCCCCACCACTGTCGCACTGCTGTCGCCACCACGGTCCCACTCTTCCCACTGTCCCCACTCCCCACCACCATCCACACCACCCTCCCAACCACTGTCCCCACCAGTCCCCCATTCAGAGTGGGAGAGGAGGGGGAGTTGTTGCGGCGAGGGGGGAGGGGAAGGTTTTGGGGGGGGGTCGAACCGAACCGGTAGTGACCCCCCCCGGTTTTCCAAGAGGGGGGGGTGAGGGGTTCGAACCGGTAGTGACCCGCCCCCCTTTCCATGATGGACTGGGAGGGGGTGGGGAGGGGGGGTTGGAACTCCAAATGACCCCCCCCTGGTTTTCGAGAGGGGAGGGGGACGGGTTGGACACCCCCAGTGACCCCCCCCGGTTTTCTGCCAGCAACGGTAGAACACGCTCTTTCCAATAATTTCATGTATTCATCCGGCTTGGGGTTCCACCAGGAACGCCCCCCAAAGATGTTGCAGAACAGCTATTTCAACATCTCATGGTTCTGATGGGGTCTCTGGCAAGAGCGGCATTCCCGAATATCCGACAATTTCACCAGCGAGCACAACATCTCCATGTTGCGAATATGTCTCGTACAAGGGTTTCACTTGAAACATTCGACGTCTCAACCCGACTCCTTGAAGACGTACAGTCTTACCTCAAAGTTGGACGCGAAGGCCCTCTCCGCCCTGCACGACGGCCCAAGAAAGCCTCGAAGACGGCCGCGACGGCTCCAAGGCAGCACCAAGCGGCCGTCGAGTAGGCCCATGAGGCTACCCAGACGCGTTCCAGGACGCATCCGGGAAACGAATATGTCCAAGCATGTTTTGTTTCCATTTACTGCCGCATTCTCGCCTTCTCGGTCTACACAGCGCGCAAAAAGGCCTTAGAGGCCCTCGACGTCGCTCCATGACGACCCCAGCGGTCCCCACGAGGCCCCAAGCAGGCTCCCAAACGCTAGAGCAACTTCGACGAGGCCCTCGCGACGCTTTTAAAGAGCCCAAAGAGGCTCTCCAGGAGCTCCAGGAAGTTCCCTAACAGCCCCAAGAGAGTTCATGGGTCTCTTGGCATGGGTTTCCGCTGTACCGCACAGGCCGCTGCGCTCTGCGCAAGGACCGACCGTCCCGGCATTCCTATAATCCTACCACGAAATGTTCTTAGAACCCAAAAATGTTCTAAGAACGAAAACAATGTTCTTACAACATAAGCCCGATGTGTTAACACAGGACAGACTCCGCCAAACATGTTCTGAGAACATATCGTGGAAACCACAAAATGGGTTCTTAGAACATTGCTTGGTAGGGCTCTAGGCGAGCCAAGACGCTTCGCCACTGCTTGAAGCATTGGAGGGCTCTGCCCCGGGCGACCGGCACGAGCCCCGGAGGGTTCAGCGCCCCCAGCTCGGGCAGCACGCGCCCCCGAGGCTCTTCAGCGCTACTGGCACGAACCCAAGGAGCTTCTGCGCCACTCGCCGTCGCTCGGACGTCCACTCCTTGTGCATTGTTATGTCTCGCGCGTGTTTTTGTTGCTCGATGGTCCGGGACCCCAGGATGGTCCTCGATGGTCCTCGCCGAGGAAAGATGCACACGTCCGAGCGACGCCAGGGCCACACCGAGGGTTTCTGGCACGAGCCCCCGGAGGGTTCGGCGCCACCGTCTTCCACGAGCCCCGAGGTACGGGTCCCGAAACCGAGCACAGTTCCGTGGCTTCATGCATCGCACACAAAGAATTCTTGTGGATGCCATGACAATGGACAATTCAACAAACAACCCGATCATTGAATCCCACATGTGTTGAACATGTGTAAAAACATGTCCTATAAACATAAGTCAAACATGCTTTTACATGTTCGAAACATGTTTGACACATGTTTTGGACACCTGGAACGTATTTGGCAGCATGCTTCCTCTCCATTAATCGACTTCCACAACAGTGCCGCGGCTCCATGCATCGCGCACAAGGAATGCCCTCCCAACCCTGAAAAAATCAGAGGCAGCAGCGTGGAATGGGGATTCCCCGCTGCAATGTCCCGGCGGAGAACCGCGGGTCACGCCCGGAGGCTGCGAGGAGGACATCCACCTCCACGCCCACATCCTCCCTGACGTCCACCACCTCATCCTCCTCCGTGGCTCCATGCATCGCACAGAAGGAATGCCCTCCCACCCCTAAAAACAAAAAAAACGCACGGCACGAGCCCGCGAGGGCTCTGCGCCGCGCGGCTCCAAGCACGAGCCCCGAAGGGCTCAGCGCCTCGAGCCAGTGCGCCACGGGCCCCGAAGGGTTTAGCGGCAGCGTCACGAGCCCCAGCGGGCTCAGCGCCCCAGGCTCGAGGAGATCCGAGAACCCGCTTGCATGCCCTTCAGCCTCTTCCTCCTCCTCCTCCTCCTCCTCCTCCTCTTCCTCCTCCTCCAGTAGCCTGCTCCTCCTCCTCCTCCATCTCTTCTTCCTCCTCCTTCTCCTCCTCCCTGTTCTTCTCTCCTTGATCTCCTCCCCCTCCTCCGCTTCTGGGTGGGCCGGAGAAGACGACCCCAAACAGCATTCGCCGACTCAGCAGACATCCGCCGATCCCCGAAGAACATCCGCCGACCCCCCGAAGAATCGAGGTGCCGTGAGGGGTGCGGAAGTTGGCGACGCTCTCTCAGGCCCTCTTGATCACTCCG